TTCCATCTGTTGTTCCTGCAAGTGCATCAACTACAGTTCCTATTCTTACTCTAGTTATTACCCATGTCGGCAAATCATATGATACCCGCGGCAAAGAAGTTATAGGTGAGCCTGCCCGGAAGGAGGCGCCTAGAAAAATTGTTGTGGAAGCCTCTAAGCAAGAAATGGAGGAAATACTGAAAATCATTAAGAAGAGCGACTACAATGTGGTCGAGCAGCTGGGGATGACCCCATCAAAGATATCCATGTTGTCCCTGCTGTTGTGCTCCGAGGCCCATGTGAAGGCTTTGATTGCATTCCTCAAAACTGTGCATGTGCCACAAGAGACTTCAGCCGATCAGTTCAAAGATTGTGTGGCCAGCCTGACTACTGATAATGGGCTGGGTTTTTCAGATGCAGACTTGACACCGAAGGAAAGGAAGCATAATGATGCTTTGCATCTCTCGATTGAATAAAGGGGCACCCCTATGGCTCATGTGCTGGTAGATACTGGGTCTTCACTGAATGTTCTGCCGAAGAAGACGCTGGACCGGTTGGATTGCGAGGGTTTAACTCTAAAGCCTAGTAACATTGTGGTAAGGGCTTTTGAAGGATCAAAGAGAATGGTGCACGGGGAAGTCGACATCCCTGTCAAAGTAGGTTCTCAGACTTTTGGGTCCACTTTCTATGTGATGGATATTAGGCCGTCATATTCTTGTTTGCTGGGTCGTCCTTGGATCCACGAGGCTAGGGCAGTTACTCCCACACTCCACAAAATGCTGAAGTATCTAGTGAAAGGAAAGATTGTCACAGTGTGGGGTGAAGAAGAGTATATGGTGAGCCACCTCAATTCCTTCTGATACATAGAGATGGACGGGGAATTCATAGAAACTCCTTGTCATAATTTTGAAGAGGTCCTTCAGATCTTGGCATCAACTAAAACTACTAGCAATAAACCTCCTTTGAAGATGGCTTCTCTCAAGGATGCCAAGGTTGTGGTTGAAGAAGGTGGGTGTACCAATTGGGGTCAGCTCCCTGATTTCACTCACAAAACTGACAAATTGGGTTTGGGCTTTACTACAGGGGCTCAAAGGGCTATTAGACACGCTCGGGCTGGAGGACCTCCTCTATGCATCAGCAATCGGGGAATTAACGCCATTGAAGACAGTGAAGAGGATTCATACATCGACAGCTGGATCTACCTAACTACCAACGGTGGACCGAGTAACTGGACGGCTAGGGACTTTATACCTGTTTATTTTATTCCGCAGTAATTGACTTATTTGTTTTAAGATTTGTAATAAACAAATTGAAACTTTACGGCCTGGTGCCTTGCCCGAGGCACCTTGGCTTTGCTTGTGAGGGCTATTATTTTTAATTTCATATATCATTCATAAAGCATTGAACGTTTATTGCATATAAATTTTGCGCTCACTGTTTTTCTTTTCTGTTTTTTTACTTTGTCGAAACAGCTATTCTCTTACACACACGCACGTATCATAATGCAGATCCATATCCACTATGGATCCCATTGATAACAGCTCTGCTATTGCCAATCATGACTTCAAAAATCCGATCAACCAAGTCGAGGACGAAGGTGAGGATGATTGTGAGGTGCCTGGAGAACTTGCTAGACTATTACAGTTGGAAGAAAGGGCCATACAACCTCATGAAGAGTCGGTTGAGACAGTGAACTTGGGTACCGAGGAAGACAGAAAAGAGGTTAAAATAGGTGCAAATCTGGAGCTTAGCATCAAACTGAGGCTGATACAGATGTTGCACGACTATGTTGAGATCTTCGCATGGTCCTATGAAGACATGCCTGGTTTAGAAACTGATATTGTGGTGCATCGCCTACCTAGTAAAGAAGACTGTCCTCCGATTAAACAGAAGGTCCATCGTATGCGCCCTCAAATGTCAGAGAAGATCAAGGCAGAGGTCATGAAACAGTTCGATGCAGGGTTCTTAGCTGACACTTCGTATCAATAGTGGGTTACTAACGTCGTTCTAGTACCTAAGAAGGACGGTAAGGTACGGATGTGTGTGGATTACAGAGATCTGAACCGGGCAAGCCCCAAGGATGACCTCTCACTCCCTCATATTGATGTTCTAGTCGACAACACCGCGCAGCATAAAATCTTCTCCTTCATGGATGGTTTCTTTGGCTACAACCAGATCAAGATGGCTCCTGAAGACATGGAGAAGACAACCTTCGTCACACAGTGGGGCACCTTCTGCTACAAGGTGTTGCCTTTCGGGTTGAAGAATGTTGGGGCAACTTATCAGCGCGCTATGGTTGCTTTGTTCCACAATATGATCCACCATGAGATTGAAGTTTATGTTTACGATATGATAGCCAGGTCCCAGACTGAGGAAGAGCACCTTGATCATCTCCATAAATTGTTTGAAAGATTAAAGACAAACAAGCTGAGGTTGAATCCAAACAAGCTGAGATTAAAGCCAGGTCCCAGGTTGAATTCTCAAAAGCTTGCATACTCTCCTCGAGCATATGCAGTTTCTTATTCGCTTCTGTCGGTTCTTCAGCATTAGAAATATAGTCCTCATAGTTATCATCCTCAAGATGTCGAGTAGGTATATGAATAGCTCTTGGACGAACAAAAGGTTGCTCATTGTTCTGACGAGTAAGAGTGGGTGGAGGCTGATTTCGCACAGCGTGAACCAAAGGAATAGCTTGATTACTACCAGCAATATTACCAAGGTTAACAACTTGACCATTCTGAAGATTCAAACTAGCATTTGCATTCAGATTGTTACCGTTTGGGTTTCCATCCAAATTCTGGGAAGGTCCCTCAGAGCCCGCATCCTCTCTCTGGGTATCTCTTTTATCAGTTGGGGTTTTTCCATCCTTCGCGTAAGTCAGAAGATTTCCCCTCTGTATCAACGCCTCAATTTCTTTTTTCAACTGATAACAATCATCAGCGAGGTCTCCTCGGAGCCTATGATAACTACACCAAGCCTCGATATCTTTTTCACATCACGGAATTGATCCTCTTTGGACGGGGCGCCTCCGGGATTAGGTTCAAATGTCCAAATTCTTGCAAGATATTTCCTCTCCTGGTGTTTAGAGGCGTCAAATCTTCATTTGAATCAAAGGGTCGTTGGCTTGGCCTTTGAGTTACACGCTCCCAGGGTCTGCCCCTTGGGGAAGCCTGGGAAATCTCTTGCCTCTTTCCCGATCCTTCCTCTCTGATCTTAGTTTTCTTAGAGGTGTCCCTGAATCGTTTCTCCCAGTTACTTTAGTCACCCTTTATATAACACTCAACTCGGGTGATGATCTCGTCCATGTCAAATGTCGACATCTATGACAGAGGCTCGTTGAATTGTCTGGCTCAGAGATCATGCTGAAAAACCCTAAAAAATGGTCTCTTCATTAAAACAGGCTAGGTATTCCCGCAGTGGTTCTGTCTGACCTTGTCGGACATTGAACAAGGTGGTTGTCAAGACCTTGCAGTGTTTATTGGCTGAGAAGTGCTTAACCAGCTTCTTTGTAAAATCTGAGTAGCTTTCTATGAATATTCGAGGTAGGCTCATATACCATCTTAGAGTTACATCTTTGAAGGTGTCAACCATGATCTTACACTTTAACAAGTCAGTAGGGTCTATTACTACCATTTGATTATTGATTGCAATAACATGCTCCTGAGGATCGATGTTGTTGTCGTAAGTCGCTAGCAAAGATGATTTGAATTTCTCTAGGACCTAGTCATCCCATATGGCTTGAGACAGTGATTGAGGCTCCACTTCTGGCTATTCATCTCCTAGGCTTTTGAGTTGTAAGTTAACTACATTGTCTTGTAAAGTTTCATTCTGCTGTCTGAGGGATTCCACCATGGCTAACAATTGTGCCATGTCTGGAGGATCTGCTTCAGACGATATTCTGGTGAATATACTTTAAGGTGTGGTCTAGGATAATTTTACCGAGGCTGCATGGTGGGCGTCAATGTTCTTGCGAAGGAACAATAAATGGTTAACTTCCCTATAAGAATAGGGAGAGTCTTAAAGGTATATTATTGTCGTATATGTGAGGACTACGGTACGTCGATAATGTGTGTTTCCTAAGAAAGGTGTCTTGCTCATCCCTCTAGTAGGAACCCCTTTATATAGTGTTTGTTTAGTATCAATTAAGAACCACAATTAAGGTGTGACTCTTCTTTGTAATTGTGTAATTGTCCTTGTCACCTTTAATGAAAGTGTTCAAAGCCATATAACGTGGGAGTAAATGCGCTGGCGACGATTACAGTCATTAATGAGTCATGTTGGTGATTGGCTACGGGTAGGTAGATCTCGATCACTAGCATTATACGTGCTGATGGCACACACAAATTGCTACTCGAAGATGTGATGGTCGTTTGTCATCTTTAGCCGAGTTGTACCCTCTCCCATGTGTTTCACATTGCTAAGTGCCGATCACTAACTTTTGCTTGTCCTTCCAGCCGACTTCATGCCCCAATTGGGATTAATATTTATGGGATGTACAATAATATTTATATAGAGTTTGATTTAACAAATATAAAAAATAAATAAATTATGTATTAAATGTCTTTTATATGATTTTAATTTATCAACTATACCGTTCAGTTTAAACTTGTGGGCCATCGACGATCCCTTCTGATCAGGTACGATCACTAAGACACAACCAAACCAAAAGCAACAACATTTCAGTCAACAATCCACTCTTTTGCAAACACTATCAATAACAATGGGGGAGTGAGAATTCTCAGTCTTTTTGTAAATCCAATTAAGGTCGACTTCTTTGACTTGTATTTGCACATTTCAATTACTTTGATCTTAAAATTGTCTAACCTTTTTTAGTGTTCACAAATTAATAGATGATTAGAGATAATTATACAATGAATGTTGATCTCATAAGCTTCATCAATGACATACTTTAATTACATGTCTAATCATAACAATTCCGTTAGATCTAAGGCATTTAAATTTTAACTTAAAATGTTGCTTTCTTCTGCACAGAATGAAATTCAAATCCTAATTTAAGATACTCAAAGAGAATCAAATTCACAAAGGACGGAATCCCAATGAAAATCATTGACATTGGAGCCTTCAATAAAAATGTTCTCAACATTTGGTAACTCTAAAATTGAATTTCCCTCTTCTTGTAGTAAAGAGCTTGAGCCAATTTTATCATTGCTCAAGTTCAACAAACTTTCCCACCACATAGCATGATCTCCATTATCATTAATTGGCACCAGAGTATCTATGTCACTATCTTTCGCCACACTAGCATCTTTAGTTGAAACCGCCACAATTGGTTTTGCAATATGTTTCTCATTCAACCATGGTGAATAGGATGCGAAAGTTCGAGGTTGAGGTTTAATAATTTCATGGGCTTTCATAATTTTGTTAGATTTTTCTTTCTTTTCTTTTAGCTCTTTAGAAACCATCATCTTCTTGCCTAAATGTGTGTGCCAATAATTCTTCACACCATTAGCGGTTCTTCCCGAAAGCCTTGCAGCAATTAATGACCATCTATATTATATGAATCATATATATGAGGTAGTAAATCATCATAAACTACTAACTTATTTAAAAAATTTAAATCACATGAAAATGGCTTTATACCTGTTCCCTAAGAGTTTGTGTAACCTTAAGATCATATCAACTTCATCCTCAGCAAAACTCTCTCTGTTGATAGTGGGGTTTAAATAATTTAACCATCTCAATCTACAACTTTTCCGGCACCTATTCAATCCTGCCAAATTCATGTAATAAATATTTTATCAAAATATAATAAAATACACATACAAGTATAACAAGCAACATTATAGTATACCTGCTCTTTGTGGAACTAGATGCCATTTTCCTTCACCATACTTTTCAATACAAGCTTTGAGTAACTTGTCTTCTTCATGTGTCCATGCACCTTTTCTCACACAGTTACTCTTACTTTTCTCCATATGTACTTAAAGATAAAATAAAGGCACGAGTCTTCTCTTTAGCTATCTGTATTTTTAAGGAAAAGGTGTGTGGGAGAGACAAAGAGTGAGGTACTCATCATTTTCTTTCTTTTTCATCCCTGAAGTGGTTACACTTTTACATGTGAATATGTTTGCTACACGTAATACTTGAATTCATCTCTAGTTAGATTTTACTATCACTCACTTTTTTAAAATTCGGTATCTATTTTGTGTCTCTCTTTTTCACCCCTAGCTCTATGTTACGACGTATGCAAAATCGTTTTGTCTTTAACGTATGTTGTTGGCATGCAATATATTGTTTTTGTTTAATCTATTGTTTTTATTTATTTTCGGTTTAATTTGTGGTTTTTGTAATACTTTTTTTTTTCTTTTTTAACAGCGTGTTTTATCAAAAGGTAGAATAATAAGTATTTTTTTAGAGTTAAATCTATTTTTGGAGGGTTTAGATATTTTTTAATGTTGTAATATTTTGTAGAATACTCTTGAGATTTTTAGGGTTGAGAACTCTCTAGAATTAGTGTGTCTAGAGTTCTCCTTAGAGTACTATAAATAGAGATGTAGCTCACACATTTATATCAAGCAAAAATACAAAGTTATCTAAATCATACAAAATTCTTCTACTTATCAAGTTTCTATTCAAGCTTCTAATATTTCCACACACTTTTCCTAAACATCAAAAGCCTTGTTTCTAATTAAGTGGTAGCAAAGCTTCAAGATTCTCAAAAGATGGAAAATAGAGGATTTTCCTTTCCAAATGTTGATGCTCACAAAAAAGAACTATGAAAATTAGAGTATCAATATGAAGGCGCTACTTGGAGTTCAAGATGTGTAAGATATCAATTAGAATGGTTTCAAGGTGCAAGATGAATCCTCGCTAAGTCAAAGTGTAAGGGAGACGTTGAAGGAGTTAAGAAAGAGAGACAATAAAGTTCTTTTTCTCATTCATCAATCGGTTGATGAAGATACGTTTGAGAATATATCCAACACAACGATGGCCAAAGAAGCATGGGACAAGCTTCAAACTTGCAACAAAGAAGTTGAGCAATTAAAAAAGATCCGTCTTAAAACTCTTAGAGGTGACTTTGAACATTTGTTTATGCAGGAATTCACATCGATTTTAGATTATTATTCTCGAGTATTGGCCGTAGTCAATCAACTTAAAAGAAATGATGAAGATGTGAGAGTCATGGAGAAAATACTTCACACTTTAAATCTAAGATTTGACTTCATTGTCACCAACATTGAAGTAAACAAAGATTTAAGGACCATGACTATTGAGCAACTCATGAGTTCCTTACAAGCATACAAAGAAAGAAAAAAAATATAAAAATTAAATAAAAAGAAGCTATGGAGCAACTATTACAATCAACGCAAGGGAAGCAAAATATGTGAATTACAAGAGCCAAAGAGGACAAGGTTCTGGCCAAGATTGTAGACGTGCACTACAAGAAAACCCATGTTTTGCCAAGTGATTATGCGGGGTGTTAATCACCGCGCAAAAAAGGACATTTGCAAGGTGATTTTCACCCCGCAACTAAAAATAATAATAATAAAAAAGAAACAACACATCGCAACTAATGGGAGAATTTTAAATTTTTTTAAAATTAGGTTGAAGGGTGAGAAACACCCCGCAACAATTTTAAAAATAATGAGGGGAATATTGACCAGGTGATTTATCATTTGTGAGAAGTGCAGATGACTGTTCTAGTCAATTTTAATTATGAAAAAGTTTTAAGGTAAATATCACCTCACAAGCTGTAATAGGTGATTTTCACCCCTCAATTTTTTTTTAATATTTTCATCAAAAACACACATAATTAATAATCTCTCTTTCCAATATTCACTCTCTTTAATTTCTCTCCTCTCATACACAACACTCTCTTTCATTCTCTCATACACAACACTCTCTTTCTCTCACACACTCTCTTTCTCTCTACTCATAATTTATCTCATAAATAAAAGATGAAAAAAAACAAACCAAAATTTCTCCAAAATCGTTTTTCTCTTCTACTTTTATAAGGTATATATTGTAAAATTTATTTTTTGTATAATATATGTTAGGTTGTGGTAGATGGTGTAGAAAATATTTATTATTTTTTTTATCATATGTATATTTTCTTGTTCTTATATAATTATGTAAATGTCTGTTGTTGTTTTTAATTTTTGTTTTTATAAAAGTATACTATAATATATATAAATGTCTTTTAAAAGAAGATTGATAAAAAAATGTATAAAAAAATAATTAATAAAAGTTGTGAGGTGTTTTTAACCTAGCAAACACAAATGACTTTCACTTAGCTAATAAAGTGTAATCTGCATTATGCCATCGCCGATATTGAACATGCTGCTCTGAACTGGTCACTTGTCTAGAAAGTTGTGGCGTGATTTACACCTAGCAACGTTGTTGCGTGAATTTCACCCAACAACGTCGCGAGGTGATTTAAACCCAGTAAAATGTTGCGACTAACATTTTTGCGAAGTATTTTGTCTACCTTGCAAATTTTGAGTTGTTGAGTGATTTAAAGAGTTGTGAGGTGATTTTCCCCTTGTAAATATTAATTTCTTTGTAGTGGTGGATGAGGACATGAAGGAGAAGGAAGAAACGGCTACAAAAATTCTTCCAAACACTTCAACATTGTAGAAAGAAGTTGGAATTCACAAGCAACAAGAGGTCATGGAAGAGAAACTTCATAGTGGAGACACGATAAATCACAAATCAAGTGCTTCAATTGTAACAATATCGGTCATTAAGCATCCGAGTGTAGATTATCAAACAAGGTTGAAGAGAAAGCTAACTTTGTAGAAGAAAAAGGAGGAGAAAAAGAAACTTTGCTACTCGCGTACCAGAACCAAGTTGAAGAGAAAAGAAATAAGTGGTACCTCTACACCGAAACTATAACATCCCGATTTTTATTAGCTATTTTATTAGTTGTTTATTTATTTAATTATTATGTGGCATGATAATTATTTAATTATTTGAATATATGTGTTATTTGAATAATTGAGTTATTAGGTGTATTAATGAATAAAATAACTTGTTGGGCCTAATTATGAGAAATATAAGTAATAAGGAGATGTGAGTTGCTAAGCCCAATAAGAGAAACAATAGTTAGTAATGGTTATGTGAAAACAAAGATTAAAATCCTCATTTTTGTGAAGAGAAGAGAAGAGAAGAAAAGAGGAAAAAAGGAGAATATAGGAGAAGAAGTAGGAAGAATCCTAAGGTGGCTACAATCAAGGTAAGGGTGAGAATATATGTTATTATGGGAGTATATGATGGATAGTAACATGTAAGAGGATTGGGTATGTGAATTTTAGGATTTGAGTTACCCAATTTGATTTAGGGGTTTGGAAATTAGGTTTTGGAAATGTATTTTTTATGATACAAATAGGTCCCCTATGATGTATACATGTTAGAATATGTTTATTTGGTGCATTAGAACATGATTTGGGGGTAAAATTTGTAACAAGACAGAACTGTCCCGTAGCAGAATTTTCTGCATAATTGGAAGGGCACTTAGCGCGGCCTATGGCACTTAGCGCGGGTGGCTAGAAATGGAAAAATGATTTACGCATGAATGAAATTGAGATCTTGTATGTTATGATTTATCATGGATTTACATGTATTTCAATAATTTATTTGAATTAATTCAGATTGGTTTTGGAAGCGTTTTAATTAGAAACTTCACACTTGAATTGTGTATGTAAGTGTTGGAATTTGATGATATTTGAGTATAGCATGATTTGTATCTAATTGCTACATGTTATAATGTTGTGTTAAGATGATTTATCCTATGAGATTGTGTTTATATGATTGATTGTCATGAAAGATGTATGTTGTATAATATTGTGAAGATAATTTAAAATATATTGAATTATGTGATGAGTTTTTGAGATTGCACATGCACATGCATCATTTATGTCAAGAGCAAAGATTTGGTAATTTCGTGAGAACTATTGACTTCTCTCAAACCTAACGCTGAATGGGGTTTGAAAGCTTAAGGTTGAATCAGGCTTTTATTGGTCGTTGTTTGACTCGGAGATGTGGACCCGACAGGAACGATAAGGATAACATTGGTGCCACATGCATAATGCATTTTAGTTGCATTAGAGTCACACGTGTTGATGTGAGTTTTTGCATTATTAATCATTATGTAATATTAGTATGAATGTGGTGGTTTAATGTGCAACATGTGATAATTGATTTAAGTGTAAAATTATGGTAATTGGAATTGAATTTCATTTGAAATATGAATTGATGAGCTATGTTGTATATGTGGATTGGTATATTGGACTATGTTATGCATAATACGTGGCTTTAGGAAGAGTGATGAATTCATATTGGTGTATGTATGTTTTACCTTGATTATGATTATATATTTTCATAATAATATGAATTCTCACCCTTCTGTTGGAATGATGTTTTATACGATATCGCTCAGGTACCGGAGATAGCGGTTCTTCTTGCCAGGATTAGAGGAGGAGCTTAATTCTTATTTATCTGCTTATTCCTAGGTAGTAAGTCATTGCTCTAGTCTATGTAACACAGGGGATATTTGAACTCATGTTTGATTTGTTTTGAGAGATATTTGTTATTACTCTCTTTTATTTGGATATGTATGAGATTATGTGATGTTTGGCCCCGGTGCGTAGTACTTATGATATGGTTATCCATGTAGGGTTTCAATCATTTATTTCCTTATGTTGAAATAATTATTCCGCTGCGAGATGCATATTTTGTATTGGTGTATTCTAATTTACTCTGATTATGCTTTTTATGTCTATGTGGGGTTAGAGGATGTTACATTAGTGATATCAGAGTAATGGTCGGTCAGATTGACCAAGTTACTAATGTGTTTATTCTTGTGGAATTCGATTTGTGTATGTGAAACAATTAATATTGTTTGTCTGACGAGTGTTGTTAGTTTTTTGTTTGTTTGGAAATCTTAGAAAGATGATAGCCGAAAGGGATGCTATTG